CACACAAGCCGCGGTTAAGACAGCTGACTCTCTCTCTCTCTCTCTCTCTCTCTCTCTCTCTCTCAAACACACACGCGCACACACACACACACACAGACACACGAAAAAAACTCCGCATTTGAACAGTCAATAGCAAATACTTAAACTAATAACAAAACAGTAGCTGATTCAGAAACACCACATATGTTCTATGCACACGCTCCAACCTACACTAATAACAAATTACATAAAATCCCAGAGCCGGATTCACGAAAATCTTCTTAAGAAATAAGTTAAGACATTTCTTAAGATAAATTCCACGAAGTTCGTAAGAATGTTCTTAAGTGCAATTCTTGAAAATTTCTTAATAGGTTCTCAAATATATTCTTTAGAACATCTTAATTTTTTTCTTAAGAAAAAAATAACAGTCGTTATCGGAGTTAATACATGACGCACTGAGCTAAACACACTTTATTGTCTTTTTGCGCATTCTGCAGATTACCCTAATAATCATAAGCACGCACACTATTTTCGTCGCGACTTTGACAGGCGCTCAGCTTCACGTTTTTAATGCGGCGTGTTTTTGAACAGTTACTTTTAAAATAGCCTGTCTCAAGCTGCAGCGATATGTTTCATTCATTTTTGTGCTGTTTTTGCGCTCTCATCTGAGTGAACGCTTCCGGTATGTGTGTCCGCGCTGCTACAGCAAACGCGCCCTGCGCATTCATGTGCGCTGAATATTGCCGAAGATTATGTCGTATTTATAAGCTACAATTAAAAGCGTTCAATTAAAGCTCCCTATTTTTAGAGTTGCTACTGAGTTTTGAAGTCAGCAAAAAGTAGCGTCACACATAGGCTAATCATGACCGATCATTGTTTACATTATCAGTCATCGCTGTCACTTCAGAAAACTCGAGCACATCCCTATTAATAGTCCTACTATGTATTATATGTAGCTAGTGTTGTTGTAATGCTTAAATATAACAATTGTCAGATGTCAAATGTCAGAGCCAAGCCTAAGGCTGATGACACACAAGGCAACTTTTTTTGAGCAATGTTGCTTGGGCACTTTCCCATTGAGAATGGGTAACATATTTCTATCTGGATAAGATGAAACCTCAGGTTGATTGATTTCCTCAGATTGTATTTTATTAACATGAGACAAATTCACACTGTAACAATGACACAGTTTCACACTGTATTACTAACTTGAGTTTATTCTGATTGAATTTTCATGTTGGTCCAGATATCAGTAACCAAAAAAAATCACATTTATATTATTTTATTTTTTATTTTAACTTTAATCTAAAGTTGAAACAATGAGGTCAATGTAACTGCAGTCTCATAGTTATGTTGGGCATATCTTACATTCACTCTTTGGTCTGCTATGTTTTAAAATCCACATTACATTCTCTTGTGTTCATAAAAGTGTGTGACACCCTTTCATACAGTGATCAAATATAAACGTATGGGTAAAACTGTAGCTGTAACAGATGTAAAACTCACAAAACCTTCTCAGGGATTCCACATAGAAGGTAATTTAATATATTTTCCTAAAGCAGTCAGTAGTAGCGTTAAAACAGACAGGTGCTGTAGACGGTGACTTTGTGACTGATCTCCTGAAGCAGTTCTTTCACAGCCTTCTCCAGATCCACAAGCTCATTGGCCTTGTCCTCCAGCAGCTTCTGATTTTCATCATAGCCCTTCTCAAGATCTGAAAAACAGAAATTTAGCTCATTGTAAGTGAAAACATTAAAAATGTAACTGGAACCAGTTGTGTTATAGTTCTTTTCTAATGCTGATGCAGTAATATTTGCTTCCCAGGAATTAGAGATGCAGGATTGACGTACTTTTCAGAAGCTGAAGTTTGTCGCTGGCCTGTAGCAGCAGATTTTTGGCTTCCTGTTGGAGTTTCTCTGCTCTTTTCTTGGCCTCTGCCACTCCTTCGGCCTTCTGTGTGATCAGCTCCTCGACACTACTGTACTTGTCCTTCAGCTCTGAATCCAGATCCTGCATAAACAGTCCACAGCACAGGAGGTTACAAACCCAAAAAACGTAATACCAAAAATGACGTATCATGTCCAGGTAATTCGTGCACCTTTTTGATCTGCTCAGCCAGTGCGATGATGCTATCAGCCTCTTTCTCTGTGCTGTTGACACTGGTGGAGGTGTTGAGAGCCTTTTCTTTCAGCAGAACTACATCGCTTTCCAACTTCAGGAGCCTTCGGGTGGCGTTACTCAGTTTTAGCTCCGAGTCGGACGTCTCAGACTCCACCTTTTGTGAAAAAGAGTCACATAAAGTGGCTTCAAATATCAATTCCAAATTGCACCATATTGATAATGAATAAAACAAGCCTAAAAGTGTTCCCTTGGAACAAATGACTGGTGATGTAGACTTACCGAGACCAGCAAGTCTTGCGTTCCCTTGATATCAGCAGTGGCCTGTTTCAGTGCCTCGGTTACTGAACTCTGGGCGCGCTCAGCCTGCTGCAAGGCCTCCTTCACCATCTCAGCTGTGTCTTTCACATCTGTCGCCTCCTTCCTGTGAAAAGCAGAGAATATACAAACACGTTGTTCAATGAACTGGCCAGTAGGTGGCAATGCTACCACATTCCACAGATATGGTACACTTTAGCGCAGTGGTTCTCAACCAGGGGCCCACTAGAGGGCCACAGGATGACTTAAGAGTATTGAAATCACAACATTACACCGCACTGCATCACATTTGCAAAATTAAATCCAATGCTTGTTTCTTGCTAATTTTGGGGTGCTCATTCCAAAAATAGTTTTGCTTTACATTACATTTTCCTACAAAATTTTTGCTTTCGACAACCATTTGTAAGACAAAGTCTTGTATTATGCCTTAATCACCAGAAGAACTGCTATAAATACATGATCCCTATCTTCCTCTGAGTCAGGTTATTTTTGTTTAAGTCTCAGCCAATTTTCACATGTATGAATGATTCAGAAGACATTATTTCATGCCTAATCTTGATTTTTAACATTTAGCTGACTTTTTATTTTATAACATGAAGGCTGATACATCCATATACTTTGAAAAAAAAAAAACCTTAATTCCTTTGCCAAAAAAAAAAAGGTACAAGTTTTTATTGGTAACTTGGTATAATCAAATTAGGCAATATTGGGCCTTTTTTTGCCAATCAGCAAAATTTTATTACTGATATATTATACTAATGTCAAATCTAAATTAAATTCTAAAATAAATAATGAATAAATAAATAAAATCATAATATAATCCGAAATTATTTTTCTTATTTCCTGTTCTATAACTACTGTATTTTTTTGTTTTGTTTTTTACTATTATGGTTAATTAGCATGTCAATACTCCTAGTTTCTGTTAATGAAAAAGCTTGAAAACTTGCAATTTTGTTATAATTACAGCAGAAATACTGAAAATATCTTACAGATAATATGAGGGAGGGGAGGCTTAAATATTAAGTTGGACAGCGGTGGACTTCGAGTCAAAAAAGTTTAGAACCACTGCTTTAGTGTCTGATGACATTTTTTAAGCATTAGAGGCACTCATCCCATGGGTTTGCAAGAACTATCAAATAGACTATTGCAGAAAATGAAAAGAAAAATGAACCTAGCATGCAAAATACTAATTTTGATGTTAATTTGATGGAAATAATAATCACATTTGGTAATGAGGTTGCAAAAATCGTGGCAAGTGCCTACTATATCAAACTGTTCTATGGGATTGATGTAAAAGACTGAATAGATCTCAGACCTGGCCTTGCGGGCTTGTTCCAGCAGGCTTTCTGCTCTCAGTATGTCAGCGGCACTCTGGTTGAGGATGTCCTCGACTTCTGTCAAGCTGCCCACGCGCTCCCTGATCTCTGCGGTCAGGTTCTGCAGCTGGGCTGGAGTGGTGGGCATCTGCATCTGCAGAACTTCATTGGCCACAGCCTCGATGCTTTCCAGGTCCGCTCCATCTTCTGTAGAAGCAGATAGAGTAAGAGTTCAAAATCAAGGATCTGATCATCCAAGCAACCTATCTCAAGGAAACCTGTAAGGGTTTCTTACGAGTGAGGAAGTCTCGGATCTGTTTGATGAGTTGGCGTAGCTCCTCGTTGCTTCCATCCACACGCTTTTTGGTCTCATTGGTTTTTGCCAGCACTTCTTGAGCATTAAGCTTTGCTTCATCTGCTTTTACCTTTGCCTCTGACACCTGAACATACAAATTAAAGAAAAGAAATCCTTTAAATCCTACAATGTCTACACAAAAGCAATCAGCAGTTATCAAGTGCCTAACAGTGAGAAGATCCAAACAGAAGCATATCTCTACAAAAACGCATTGCAAAATCTTTTATCATATAAACAGCAGATACAGTATCACCTGAGAAACCTCACCATTTTGGAGAGCTTGTCCACTTCCTCCATAGCGCTGATAATCTCCAGGTCAAAGTCCTTGGCTTTCTGCCAGGCATTGTGGGCCAGCGTGGCGAGGCTATCACATCCCTCTCCTCCACACTTCCTGTTTCCTTCCCCATCCACACAGCTCAGGCCTCCGCAGGGAGAGTCGGCACAGTTCTCTGAGCCAGCTGGACTGCCACATGTCTATCCGGAGAGAGATCACAAAGTTAAAACTAGGCTTTTCTATTTACATATGCAAAACTCACTAGTCGGGTTTCCATCTAAAGTTGCGAATTTAATTTTATTCTAAATTTGGCGTTTCCATCACTCGTTTCTCATGCGATACTTCAAAATGTGCATTAAAATAGGGTGATGGAAACATAGCTACTGCCATGATGCTGTGTGATTGCAAAGGCTTTGCTATGCATTTGCTAGGTATTCTATTGCTAGGCATTGCTGTGCAGTTACTAGCATACATATGTGTAGATAGATGCCACAATCGACCGCTCCAGACACGTCAACACGTCTGCCATCTTGGAACGGTCAATGTGTCGTCACTCACTATTAAAATCAATGAGTTTCAAGATGCCACAACATTGTGCAGCCTCTGGTTGTAAAAACCACAGAAATTTTAATTCCTGAAGAAATTGGATAAACTTTTTTTGACAGGTAAGAATGTGTTGGTTTGTGTTTTTAATATGTATTAACTCAATATTACAGTTTTTTAAACTATAGTACCCTTTAAATGTTGCGGTAGCGAACGGCTTCGTCTTGTTGTATCGTGTTAGTTTAGCAAAATCATCTGCTGAAGTCTATTGCACATATAGATGTTGCATACAGAGCAATGTACAAATTTTGGTCTGTTACTGATTTCAAATTACATGACAAAAATTGTAGTTAGTAATGTAATCCATTACATTACACATTTCAGGTAATATAAGCAGACTACTTTTTGATTACCTTTGACCTAACTCATTTATCACGTTGATTTAAATAGGATAATCTTGTACCATATTGATATAAAAATACAAAGAGTAAGACAATTTATTCCATTAAACCACTGCATACAAATTCCATCGCATTAAACATTACATTAAAGGAACTGCAGGGGATTTGCGAGTTTGATGAAAAGCTAATAATTAATTAAATAAAAAATAAATAAATTAAAAAATAAAAATAATAATAATATTTGATTACTTGCATGTCATGTCACCATTAACCAATGTCAGAAAACTGTGAACATGCAAATGTGTTACTTAATTATTAAAATATTTATTTTAAAATCTCAGGGGTACTTCAAGTAAATATATTAGCTGAAAGAGGTTCAGATGACAAGTTTGGGAATGCCTACATTACATGTAATTAAGAAAT